GCATTTGAGCGGGTGATGACATGATCTGTGCAAAATATCCTAGTTAATGACAGGCCAAAGATATCCATGTTTAGAGCTTAGAGTTCCTTGCCTTTGTGAGACGTTGCTAACAGTCCTTTGACACTTGACTGTTCTTCTCAAACAGACTGAGCTGAGCTCTTGTTTTGCAGACCACTTATCTTAAATCAGTCCTAGCAACAAGAAACTGCCGTGGCGAACTCCACAGCAGAGATGGATGGAAGACTTCATATTTCATCTAAGCCTCAGTGACTTTTGTCAAGTCAGTAATTATTTGTCTGAACGTCACATTGATTACTGGACTATAGCAGAGCTTCAAATTCTCCATTTGTCTCCTCTAAGCTCCTCTAGGCAGGTTGGGCTGCTATGTTTTATCCTGTTTTTCTCTTACCTTCAGTGCAATTTGGTTTTGACTCTAACTGGCCTACGTGGAGTAAGGAACCTGTGCTGACAAAGCCCCACAGCCCTTGCTTTAGGGTGGAACGATGTTCAGCATGCTTTCCTTTCCAGTTTGGAAAAGTGCATTTGGACAAGAACTGAGTGACTGCAAACGCAGAGCATGGACTCGATCAGCAGGAGTGCGGACTCCACGGTGTCATTGCCCCCTCACCTGTGCTGCACCTCGGTGTCTGATGGGGGAAGGGGAAGCTCCTGTGTGAGGAGCTAACGATGGCTCATGACCGCTGAGGCCGTTAAAGCGCTTTGAGGTCCTCATGCGGAAAGCAGCACAGCACTATCAGTGCAGCATAATCCCCGGCTCGGCACTCAAATCAGCTCCAGGACTTGGAGGCTTCTTTCACTACTCACCAGCTCAAGACAGGCTACTAAATAAATGTTAGAAGGAAAATAAAAAACCTCTTCAGCCACAAAAACAAAAACCAAAAAAGCCACAGAAGTGTAGCCAGAGGCAAAGAATGGGAATGCTCTTTTGAGCTGCTGCCCTCGATGTCGGTCTGGAAACAGCTAAATTCACTTTTCTGTAGGAAGTGTCTGAAGAAAATAAAGTTGTACCCATTAAGGATGCTGAGACTTCTGTAAACTGGAATTGCTGGACCAGCTTGTAAACACAGAAAGGCCGGGGCTAGAGAATAGAAATGGAGAATGCAGAAGAGATTTCTTTAAATTGGGCCCTAGTGTCAAGTGCACAAATGGGCTGAAGTAAAAAGTGGCAGAGTTTCTGCAAGCCCTTGAACCATTTTTCAGCTGAGACAACAGCAGTAGAAACCATGTCACAGTGGCTTCTAAGTGAGTATTATATTACACGCTGGAAAGGGAAATGTTTTCCAAGTACGGATCGTGGCAGGACAGACGTTTCTTGAAAGAAGTACTGTGCATAGAAGGCGGTCAGTACGTCTTACTGATGTTCTTGGTTCTCTGAAACAAAATTTTCATACTGTAAATAAGTAATTTTCAGTTTCATGTGAGTGGAAATGCAGTTCAG